TTAAAAATCACACTGGGTGCATGCCTATGCACACCCAAGATCCTGAAAGGAGAATGAGAAGGGACGGCAGCAAGGCCATTCCCCCAGAGGTGATTTCTTACTTTCCCTCTACCTATCTCTCTCTCTCTGGCAAGTGCATGAACCCTGAGACAAAAACCTCTTAAAAAAACAAACAAACAAAAAAACTTTCTGCTCAATAAAAGATCCATCAATGACAGATAAATATGACAACATTGAGATGTTTTTAAAGCAGAAGCATGCAAACTAAAGCCATTACAGACGCTAGATGATCAGACTCTACAACAGCTAGTTTTCTCTACAAGCAAATGGATACTTAACTTACTTTACTAAGACCAACATTGTGGTATTTCTTTTCCATTATCTTCTTCACTGGCTCTTCTTCCTTAAAAGTAATAAAGCAGAACCCACGCCTCTTATTGGTCTTGTTGTCCATGGGGAGCTCTATGGATTCCACCTGGTATCACAAAAACAAATTTTAATATCCTAGTCTGTATCTTACTGAAATTAAGAGCAGAAGTTTAGTTGGGGGAGGGGGACACATCAAGAAAACATATTTTGTCCTTCAAGCTCTATTCTATGTCATCCTGTGTATTCTAATCTTTTAAAGGGATTTTTCAAATTAGAATATATACTTCACCTAAAAACTCTTCCCATCTACCTACTTAAAAAAAAAAAAAAAGTCAAGCTTCACGGGGTACTGACATTTGCTACCATCACTTGTGGTCACAAACTCAAATGTCCACAAATGGAAAAAAAGTCACTTTTCTAAGAAAATCAGATAAAAATGTCAGCATTAGGAGTAGCTTTGTGAGAACTACTGCAAACTTGAGAACCTATGCCCAACTTGAGGTGGAAGCTTCTACTCAGTCTTCAATGTTGACTGCCACGGAAGGAAGGCACCAGTGATGGTTCCAATGTGGTTTCTTCTTGCAAATATTTAAGAAAATCTACATACCCAGATTTGAAGGCAGTATCTCAATTCCTCACTACTAACAATAAAACATTCTGAGTCAAACAAAGCTATCTACAGGTTATATCTGGGGCCCAAAGCCACAAATTTCTCAGTTTAGCTCTAAATCATGCATTCAGAAAAGGAACCTCTATTTCACTAGTGAGTATACATTTAGTCTCTAATATTAAATTTTCACTTATACCTGTGTTTAAACTGTTAAGGCATTACACCCTATTCTTAATGTATTCCTTCCCTATTCTCAACAAAAATTTCCTCCTCTATTTCAAGTAACCCAAATCTGGATTTTCCCTTTGTATTGTATTTTTGTTTCTTCTAAACTGATAAACTCCTCTGGATAAGAACGCTTGTCCATTTCGCCTTTGTGTATCCAATAGATGCTCAATAAATGAGAAAATGTAATCATCTAACCTTCAAAGATCTATTTACATTATCCTTTCTTTAAACAAATTACAGAATCTGCCAATTTTTAAAAACTTTGATAACTTTGGGAGAAAAAAAGTGACTTGAGTCCACTTTATGTGATAATCTCTTTCACAAACTTTGACATAAACTGGATCAGGACATTTATAACATACCTCACCAAAACCACCAAAGTACTCCCTTATTTTCTCTTCAGGTGTGTCTGGAGAAAGGCCACCAACAAAAATTTTTTTAACCGGCTCTTTTGTTTTCATGGCTTTGGCCCTTTTAGGATCAATCACCTTCCCATTCAATTTATGTTCTTTCTGATCCATGACCTAAGGGAATTGAAGTTTTTAATTTTAAGAATGTATATTTTCACTGAAGTTCAAAAAATACTTACTTAAAAAAAAATTATGCTAAACAAAGCTAATGCCAGTCATATGTTGACTGGCTCAAGATTAAATTATCAAGTCATGTGGTATTATATCTGCTAACATATATGAGTAATTAGAATTTTCAAGTTCAATTAAAATTAGGGAAGGCCACATAAATGTAGCCAGTTACTACTGCAGAAAACCAGAACTTTCAACAGCCAGTAGCATGAATGAACAAGGCTGTCATTTCCCCTTGGCCAAAGACCAAGGAAAGATTCGGTAAAGATGCTGCTTGCCTAACAAAATTTCAAAATGTGTTATTTCTGTGAACCTGTCACAGCATCAGTATATTTTAACTTTAATTTAGTAGCTAGATCCTGGCATACAGAAAGCACTCAGGAAACAATTCCTGAATCTGCCTGTCCCTTTTTATCAGAAACTTGTACTTCTTCTTTCCTACATACTAACAATAGAACAACAAATAATAATCAAATTTACTGTTATCAAACTATCCATATTTTAATATTTTGTATTAACTATTCAGAACACATAACACACTACCTTATCTACACTCTCCGACTCTTTAAATAGCACAAAGCCAAAACCCCTTGATCGCCCTGTGATAGGATCTAACTTCAGAGTGCAGTCTACAACTTCACCAAATTTGGAAAAGTAGTCCTTCAGATCTTTCTTTGTAGTGTCCCAGCTAAGGCCTCCTATAAACATTTTCCTGTAAAGACAAAAGGCAGTATTAAAATGCTAAAAAAATTAAAAAATAAACTTTACCTTACATATTATCTAAATCAGAAACACATCTTTCCCAAAACTGCACCAGTTTACTGGGCAGTATATATTAAAACGTCATTTTTACTACATGAGCACACACCAAAAACATTCCAGAAAATTTAACTTCTCACTGCTGCTACTGTATTTTTATAAAGTTACAAGCAAAGCAGCAATTATCTTTTGACTTGCTAAAGAGATAAATATAAACCCCAAGTAAAAATAATATATATTACATTTTTTAAATTATGAGCTAAATATTAACAAAGAAAGACTCTTAGCTTCAAGTTTGGCTTCCAAATCTTCAGGAAACTTGTCAAAAGACTATATGCAGTCTCCACTGACCCAGCAACCAGCATCAACTATGCTGAAGCTCCTTTTTTGATTTTCAACAATTCTTTCATTAACAAAACTCTTTGCACATAAGATGAAAAAATCTAAGTCTCACAATTAAGTTGTGAACCAACTTTTCTGATGTGCTAAGAGTTCTTGAAAAGCCAAAAATCATGTAATTAAGTGAAAAGAATTATCCATTGAAGCACAATCCACTGACATAGATGATTATTTACAGTAGAACCTCAGTTAACCAGCAATATAAAGCATCTACGATTTTAAAATCTAAAAGTGACTTTCTGGTAACTCTATGATCTTTTATATCTGTTCCCTTTGCCAAAAATGGGGGGCCTAACCTGTACCACCTACTCTTTAAATAGGACTGAGAGTTTTATTTTATGGATAAACTGTCAGAATTTGTTATGTGAGGGTTAAAATTTTAACCACAGGAATAAAATCATGCTTGCTCAACATGTTCTCATTTTTATAACTGGAGGGCAGGTGATGGTGAGGATGGGAATGTATAACTTCCAGCTCCAGAAAAAAATTAAAGCAGGCCTTTCATTAGAAAACACCTCCATTTGTAGGCTTCTAGTATTATTGTCACTAAGGCCCATTGTTTCTTGAATTAGGTAGGGCCTTACTTCTCAAGGACGCCTGATTAACTGAGGTGTTACTGATCTTAACTATTTTACCACAGACTTAAATTTTATTTCTAACAGCATAGCTAACTTTACTGCAAAAGAAGTCTTAGTTTATGCCTATACTGTGCTCCTGATCTCAGATTAGGCTTTCAACTTGTATGTTCTAAGAGTGGGCCATTTATATGCTTAATTTTGAGGACTTTCTCAAATAAAATCTCCATGTATGAAGTAACATTACCCTCTTGATATTTCATAATCAAATAAACGTAACAAAAAACTCAAGAATGCTGTGTAGGTATTTTAAACGTTTACTTATTACCAAATACATGGAAAATATTAAAATATTTTCTCTATAATAGACACTTTATTTAATTCGAATTAATACAATCCTTAGTTTTCTGTAAAATATTTTTAGCCTAAATGTCCAAAGTATTTTCCTCATAAAAATGCATTATCAATATTTACCTTGTCAAGGTGAGGACACTAACTTTTTTTTTTTCTTTGAAGAGGTTTTTGGTATAGGGCACGTGCGCTCACCAGAAAGACAGAGACAGACAGAAAGCGAGAAATCACCCCCCAGCGGGGATGGCCACGCCACAATCCCTTCTCCTCCATTCTCCTCTCAGGATCTTGAGCACGCACGCACACGCACCCGGCAAGAGTTTAAGTCGCCAGGACTTGAACCACGGCCGACTATGTGGGAATCCAGCGACATAGCCATTACGCTAACCACTGGTCCCAGGACACTAACTTTTTAAAGACAAGAAAAAACTGACTATAAAACAATGACCTCTTGCTCAAATATCCATGACAAGTACTAAAACAGGAACTTCAATTAAGTAGATATTTAATTATTAAATTACCATTTCTGTGATTACTACAGAAATTTCCCATCAATAACTGAACAAAGTTTGAAATTATTTCGCCATGAATAGTGCAAAAAGACTTATTTTTAAAGATTAAAGTTGAAAGGCAAGAAAATTCTATCTGGTCATTTCATCAAATATTGAGACAACTATTTTTTATTTTATTTAACCAAAGCAAGATTTATACTAGGAAAGTGTTCTTAACTTAAAATTAAGAAAAAATAAGTACAAAGAAATAAAATTGTAAAACAAAGAATGAGGCATGTTCTATTATTATACACAAGCCCCAGATGCTTTTAGGATTGAAAGTTAATTTGTTTAATTATTGGATGAAGCATAGCAATTCATCAATAAGCCTTGTGAAAGTGCTCTCTAAAGAAACTCTCCACCTCTATGACAGTCTAAAGAAGTGGTTCAATGTGCCTACCTTAGAACTAAAAGGATTCACCTGAAGATGCCATAATTCCACTGACAATCAAATTTCATTTATCCAGGATATAAAGTATTTTGGTCAACTGTAACTGTTACACATTCTGTACAATGATTTTACTTGTTCTCAAAAACTTAGGAGTGAAATACATGATTTTTAAAACTTCAATTATCCAGCACTTTTTAGAGAATGAGGAGCCAAACAGTCCACCTTTCTTAAGGCACTGCCTGCATTCCTTAAATTCTCCCCATTGTGTTGGCACCAGCAGATGGTGTGGTGGTTAAGGTGCTGGACACTCCCTCATGGCCAACCATGGTTCGAGTCCCGGACCTGGTGGCTTGCTTTCTCACTTTCTCTATCTCTCTCTTTGGTCAAAATTAAAATAAATTAATAAATTAATACTTAAATAACTCTTTAAAAAAAATCTCTCCTCACTGTGTAACCTTCAACTATCTGTAATAATTTTTTTCTACAGCATAACACACACACTTTTGTCAGATACAGTAATCATAATTTCACACTATGGGTCCATCATTATTAATACATTATACTACTGTAGACCCCTTAAGGTCTTCTGAAATCAGCTTATTTATTATCAATACACCAAATGCTTTTCATTTCTCAGCTCTTTTAACAAGTTCTATTTTTCACATTTGCCAGATTAACCCCCAACTGCCAGTCTAAAATTCCATTTTGTAGGATAAGTAGCCAGGTCTCAGATTTTTCATATTTTGTGTAAAGTCTCAGCAACAACAGCCTAAATGGCTCTTTAAAACAATTTTATTTTACTGACAGCCCAGAAGCTCTCCAGCCTTTTCTTATGCTCTAGTTTAAGAAAGGTTACTAAACAAATAACCCAACCGGTTAATATACTACAACAAACGAACTGTACCAAACCCATTCCCTTTACTGGAAAGAATATATTAAATCCACTCCAACTTTATCTAGTAGGCACAGTAAGCTGTAGCTGTATAATACAGTGGGAAAAGGTCTGTTTATCCTAATTATGAATAAATGGGCACTTATTTTAGCCTCTAGATTTTTGGCAAATACTGCCTCTCAAATCTTGATGGCATAATACCAATTTAAATTACATTGTAGATAATTGCATCTTGCTTTTATTAAAAGCACAAGATTTGAATATAAAGATTATTTTTCATGTTACTGTCACTTCTGCAGAGATGCAAACAATTTCCTACGAAGCAGACAGAACTTCAGAAAAATACTAAGCAGCCAAGTTAAAAGTATGAACTTTCCCAAGTAGTAGCAAACTTGGCCCCCAATTTGCTGCAAGTTTAAAGTTGCCAATTAATACTCTCAATGAAAATATAGGATTTCATCCACAGTATTTTATTAACAAAAGTTAATTTCTTAATCCTAGTTATGAGCAAAGTATTCAGCATTCCAAGGGCAATACTGTATTCAATTTAAAACACCTACCCAACAACAGACATCTCTGCTTTCAAAGACCTTGATAGTACAACAAATTATAAAATTAATGACGAGCATAAAGTCATATAACCCAGTGTGTATAACTATTCAAATGCTATGCAGTGTCACTCAAAAATCTAGGCTATTTCACCAGTATTTTAATCACTTTTTAGTGCAAATAAGTTAAGAGGCATTATACCACACTGCCTAGATTTAAATCCTAGTCTTGTTGCTAACTACATAACCCTAAGCAAGAAAAAAACATGAAATCAAAGATTGTTTTTAAATCTGTTAAAAAAGCCTACTACCCCTCAGCTAACTGCACTGAGGATTAAACCAACTAACACACTTTAAGGGCATAGTCTGGTGTATCCTGAGTGCTCAATTAAAAATAAGTTATAAGTTATTACTTCAAAGGGGTATAACACAATATAAACAGGTCATAAAGCAACTTTTCATGTACTTGATTATTTTTACTTTTGGAAAGGTTTTTGCTAGTGCGCTCACTAGAAAGACAGAGGGACAGAAAGAAAGAAATCACTTCCCAGGGGGGATGGATGGCCAGGCAGCAATCCCTTCTCCACTCTCTTCTCAGGATCTTGAGCATGCATGCACATGCACCCAGCATGAGTTTTTAAGCCACTGGGTCTGGGACTCAAACTGCAGTTGACTACATGGGAGTCCAACAGCTGCCATTACACCAACTGCTGGTCCCCATATACTTGATTACTTAATTTTTTGTTTAAACTGATTCTTTCCAAAATTAAGAGGAAAAGGTCACAATTTTTATGCAGATACTAAAAAATATTTTCAATGCTATAGACTTAACCCAGATATTTTTCTATTTTCTTTCTCCCATATGGAAAATAGACTGGAAATTGGGTCATCTTTCATTTAAGACCCTTTAAATGTAGATTCCCAAACCATCTTGATGATTTATCTGTACTCTACATACATGCCAGTATTTTTAATGAAGAATAATTTAAAATATAAAAGACAATACACATGGGGCAGCACTCGCTGGTGGAAAATGTTTCTGATTCAGTAATCTTGTTTTTCCCCATCAATAAACTTCTATTACGGTCACTATAGTCAACATCTTTCCCAAACTAGTCTTTACTGTGAAATACCTTATTCACAGTAAAATGATAAACACCATTACACTTCCTCCAATTTTGAAACAGAAGAAAAAGTATTCCATAATTTTAAAATATTTGCTAACACTCAAGATCTTACATGTGTG